TTGTTACTCCCAAACCGCCGTAGCCCAGGTGAGTGCCCTTCTAGACATCAGCGTTATGAGATACGCTATCTTCCAGCGATCCAAAGGAAACAAAGAGGGCTGCAGCTCAAAGATGAGGGAGCACTGGGAAAGAAACACCCGGCAGGTTCCAGGATCCCCAGCATAGTGCTCCGGAGGAGGTAAGCGGAGTTCTCGGGAAGCCGGGGTAGACTGGACAAAATCACCACTGGTAGGGGGATTACTGAGCGTCCGGGAGGTCTCCGTAGTGGCATGCTGCCTGATAGATAGTCCACGGGATTGCTCCAGTAATGATTTGAAACCCTGGTCATGGCATTCCGCCAAAGTATGGAGTCCTTCCATAAGGTTCTGGAGTAGCTCCTCATGTCTTCCAATGGTGGCTCAATGCAGGGAGACAGTGTTGCGGAGCTGGTCCGAGTCTCCTGGGTCAGTCATGGCCTGTTCGTACTATAACGACACAGGATGAGACCCAGATGCAGACACGGAAGGCAGATGGTTCGAGTCTGGCAGGCAAGAGGCAAGTCGAGGACAGGCAGAAGTTCGTAAACCAGGTCAGAGTCAGTTTAGTCATTACCCTTATAACACTAAACCATATGGACACTACCATGCACGCCATTTTCAAGATGAACCTCCTTTATCTTAGGAGTAGCTCATTGAGACCTTTAAACAGTTCAACATTCACAAGGCCGCAGGGCCAGACAGATTATCAGGACGTGTACTCAGAGCATGACCAACTGGCAAGTGTCTTCACTGACATTTTCAACCTCTCCCTGACCGAGTCTGTAATACCTACATGTTTCAAGCAGACCACCATAGTCCCTGTGCGCAAGAATGCCAAGGTAACCTGCCTAAATGACTGCTGTCCCGTAGCACTCAGGTTTGTAGCCATGAAGTGCTTTGAAAGGCTGGTCATGGCTCACATCAACACCATCATTCTGAAAACCCTAGACCCACTCCAATTCGCATACTGCCCCAACAGATCCACAGAAGACGCAATCTCAATTGCGCTCCACACTGCCCTTTCCTCCCTGGACAAAAGGAACACATATGTGAGAATGCTGTTCATTGACTACAGCTCAGCGTTCAACACCATAGTGCCCACAAAGTTCATCACTAAGCTAAGGACCCTGGGACTAAATACCTCCCTCTGCAACTGGATCCTGGACTTTCTGACGGGCCGCCCCCAGGTGGTAAGGGTAGGCAACAACACATCTGCCACGCTGATCCTCAACACGGGGCCCCTCAGGGGTGCGCACTTAGTCTCCTCCTGTACTCCCTGTTCACCCACGACTGCGTGGCCAAGCACGACTCCAACACCATCATTAAGTTTCCTGACGACACAACGGTTGTAGGCCTGATCACCAACAATGATGAGACAGCCTATAGGGAGGAGATCAGAAACCTGGCAGTCAAATCAAATCAAATTGTATTTGTCACATGCGCCGAATACAACAGGTGTAGACCTTACCGTGAAATGCTTACTTACAAGCCCTTAACCAACAATGCAGTTTTAAGAAAATAGAGTTAAGAAAACATTTACAAAATAAACTAAAGTAAAACATTTACAATTTAAAAAAGTAACACAATAAAATAACAATAATGAGGCTATATAAAGGGGGTACCGGTACCGAGTCAATGTGCGGGGTGTACAGGTTAGTCGAGGTAATTTGTACATGTAGGTAGGGGTAAAGTGACTATGCATAGATAATAAACAGTGAGTAGCAGCAGTGTAAAAACAAGGGGGGGGGGGGGGGGCAATGTAAATAGTCCGGGTAGCCATTTTATTCATTGTTCAGCAGTCTTATGGCTTGGGGGTAGAAGCTGTTAAGGAGCCTTTTGGACCTAGACTTGGCGCTCCGGTACCACTTGCCGTGCGGTAACAGAGAGAACAGTCTATGACTTGGGTGACTGGAGTCTTTGACAATTTTTTGGGCCTTCGTCTGACACCGCCTAGTATATAGGTCCTGGATGGCAGGAAGCTTGGCCCCAGTGATGTACTGGGCCGCACACACTACCCTCTGTAGTGCCTTACGGTCAGATGCCGAGCAGTTGCCATACCAGGCGGTGATGCAACCGGTCAGGATGCTCTCGGTGGTGCAGCTGTAGAACTTTTTGAGGATCTGGGGACCCATGCCAAATCTTTTCAGTCTCCTGAGGGGGAATTTCAACAGTAGAAAATATCCTGATGGAAATTCAGGTTCTTTCAATCACATTCATCTGTCTACTCCGCCTGTCTGCATCCATTGCTATGTCTTGACTTGAGCTATTGCTAGTGAAGTGCAACATTGTATCAAATCATTAACTGGATGCAGCCTGAAGCTGTTGCTAGCGAACTTGCGCAACATTGTATCAACTAGCCTATTCCAGGCCCTTAAAGTTTATTTGCCAGTGAGCTCGGGACAGACAGCTGTTTTTTATGAAGTTTCCACTGGATATAAGGTATGGGATCATCAGATCATGATATTTAGCTCTTTCACACCGTGGCTTGGTGATTATTGAGGCCGGGAGTGTTGGGAAGACTTTTCAGATACTGAGGAACTATCATTTGCAATGGATGTAATAATTTTTTTAAAATATATATACTTATTTTACAATGTGTGAAGTGAAGAAAAAATTACTGAGAAGCTCAGTTTATTAGTAGTGGATGTGGTGCATTAAGACAATCACGTTTCCACTACGAGAATGAGAATGGTAAATGACTGTAATTAATACATGCATTAACAGAAATGTATGTAACCAAATGGTGAGGGATTAACGGTACATTTACTAGGCCTACTGGTGACATGTAATGGGGAATTGATAAAAAAAACTAAACCATCAAAGGGCAAACAATTCACACAATGAAACAATGAATGGGCAAGAATTGGCGCGAGACAGCTGAGCGCATTCTGGAGAGATACATGCCATATCTTCTCCACACACCCCTCCCCTTCTTCTTGTTGCAACCTTTTAAATTATACTCAAGACGCATTATCTTCACATATATTTAAGATGCATTTTACTGACAGCCGCAACTCAATCAGTTAGACATATTGCCACGCACGCTGCCCAAATTGCGGGATTCCCAAATAGGCATAGGCCTACACACGTGATTTGAAACAATCCACAGCAAAAACATTTAAAGAAGCTAATGATCCTCTGTGGCTAAGTCATGCTCTCTGGTGAAGTATTTTGAATGTTTTTAATTAGACAGGAGTAATTATATAATTTTTTCAAAACATCAATTTACTTTAGGGGAAGCCAGCATTATAACAGTGCACAGTGCACCCACCAACTTTCCTTTCCAATTCGCGAGACTGAAACCAGAGATCTGTATATAGGCTAATGACGAGATGCTCATGTCTCCGCCCTAACAATGGGAGTCGTTGTCCCAAAGGCGGGAAGGCAGGCGACAAGTTTAGGTCTACATATTATGCCCCTAGAAACACATTGGGCTTATTCTGGACAGATTTTGGCGAGAGTGAGCCCCCTCGCTTCGCCTCTTTCTCTCTGCTGAAACTCTCTCACTGGAGAAAGCATCTGAGTGAGCGAAACAGTGCCGCTCTGTCGTCACTATATGTAGCCCATGTATCTGATGCTGTCTGGTCAGAAATAGTATGACAGAGGGGCGCTGTTTCGCTCGCTCGGATGCTTTATCTGAGATTTATGCATATTTCTGTCGGCATGTGTCCCGGTCAAATAAATTATCAATATTTCTATATTTTATTTGGTGGGCAAGGAGATACGTTGGGGTGGGCCAGGCCCCCTAATGCCCGCCTAAGGCCCACCCCTAACACCGGCCCTGCATGTCATCCCAAGCTTTGTCAAAATCGCCTGTGACTAAGGTATGTACAGTTTATTACTATAGCGCCCCCCTTGGGCCAATCAGTGTACTTTTGTAAATGACGGATCTCTATGGCAAGACGCGTCATTGACCCAAGTTTAGTCAAAATCGGGCCAGTGGTCTCTGAGATATCATGTGGGTTAGCGAGACTCATATCCTTGAGCATGTGTGCCAAATGTCATCACTCTGAGTCAAACAGATCAAGAGATATAAAAATGTACCCGTTATAGTGTGATCGATATGGATGTTCACATTTTACATTTTAGTCATTTAGCAGACGCTCTTATCCAGAGCGACTTACAGTTAGTGAGTGCATACATTTTTCATACTGGCCCCCCGTGGGAATCGAACCCACAACCCTGGCGTTGCAAACGCCATGCTCTACCAACTGAGCTACATCCCTGCCGGCCATTCCCTCCCCTACCCTGGACCAATTGTGCGCCGCCCCATGGGTCTCCCGGTCACGGCCGGCTACGACAGAGCCTGGATTTGAACCAGGATCTCTAGTGGCACAGCTAGCACTGCCATACAGTGCCTTAGACCACTGCGCCACTCGGGAGACTGTTCTTGCATATCTTGAGTCTTGACAGTGTTTGCAAAATGTGTACCAAATTGTGTTACAATACAAATATCCTTGACTGATTTATATGCATTTATGAGCTAGACCACACCCACATTAATGTTAATTGGTCAATAACAGCCATGTTGTTTTAGGTTCTAGTCTGGAAAATATTGCGTTGAGAGACCTTTGGATTTGTGTGGCATGATTTGTATTCTGAAAATACCAGAATTTAACAGTAAATATAAGGGAATAAGCTCTTTGCAATGTTTGTGAGGAATATTGTGTAGGTTTATGTGTGGTAAGTAACAGGGCACAATGACATCTTTGTTTCTCTAATCTACATCCACTGGCTGAGTGCTTGACCTAAGTAACAGAAGCCCACAAGGACAGAGAAAGCTTGACATGAATTGAGCATTTGTTCAAAGCCATTTGTTGGTTTCTTCTAATCTAGACATACAACAGCACTACAGAGCTGACCTAAAGCATTGATAGGGCATGTTTGTCATTCAAAAATTATGCACTAAAGAAAATATGAAATATAGGGCCAACATTTCTAAAACACCAAATAATCTCACATTGGATTTGGACATTTTTTATGTCTTATCAAGTAGCCTAATAAATCTGGACACAATATTGCATTTTCATGATACATTTAATCCAAAACATCAGATAGAAATACTTTTATTTTTAATCAGCAGTAAACTTTATTAGAGAATGTGGGGCACTTCAGTGTGTTGTGTATTTAAAATAAAACTAAAGAAAAAAGAAAAACAACTGCTGCTTGTTTATGTTTTGACACACTTAGAAACATTTTTGCATTTCAATCCAGCTGACCATTTGGATAACTTGGGCTGTTGTCATGCATCTGAGTTGCTCATCTGGATTTGCTTCCTCTCTGACAGACAGCAGTGCAGTTCAAGGTCAATAGATAATGGTCTCAATCTCCCCACAGTGAATGAGGTTTGGGCTTACTTGGGTGGCCCACCAAAAGAGTGATGATAATGCTTGTCATTCTTGTCATTCTTGTCATCAATGGGGAACTGTACTTTATCTAGGTTGGCAGACCCTCCACTACTCTGCATAGCAGGAGCTCCAGGGTTAGGATTGGTGATGACGCCCAGGAAGACTGGTGCTTGTGTCTTATCGTCCATGAGGGCAAAGAAGAAGGGCTGGTTGAGACTAAAATAGGGGTTGGACCGTGAGATGACCAGGCTGGTAGCAGCAGCAGCCTCTGCTCCCTCCTCAGTGATCTCCATACTGGACTTGTGCTGCACACTGGACACTAGCAGAGGGCCCTCAGCTATGGCTGCCAGGTTGGGACTAGCAAACAACTCCCCCATACCTGAGAATAGGACAAATCACACACTTAGGTATAAGAGGAAGAGGGGCAGTTCTAAAGTTTTCAAAAAGACTTACAGCTTCTGCTAGTAATTTCAATTTGTGTTGAAGAATAACATGGAACAGCTTCTGCTGCTCCATGTTATTGTACTTCAAGCTTTATTATCTGTGAACGTTTTCAGTAGTATAGTCACTTCACATATTAATCTAGGCTGCTTATGGATCTTCCACTACTTACCAATGTTGGTCAGAGCCTCCTGCAGGTCCTGGCTGTAGTCCAGTTTGAATTTGGGCAGTTTGACCTGCATGGATATCTCTCTGGGCAGGCGGTTGTACAGGTCAGAGATGTTGAGCTTTGTTGTGAGGGCTGACACGTTCACCTGGCCATTCATGGGCATCACTATCAGCAGGCTCATCTGATTGTTGAAGGGGAAGCGAGCCACCTGCACAGGAAGACCAGGACAAGGATGAGAAATAGAAGTGAGGTAATATAGTGTGCAACAATTTTGTGACTCAGGAAAGTAGGAGGGGGAATAGAGAAATTCAAGGAGATAAATTACAAAATGAAGACAATATGTCATAAAAAAGGAGCCAAATACCATTTTGGAGTCATATCTGAAATATAATATAACATACAGTATACAGGTATATACTACATGTAGAGAGTGATGGATGGTAAAAGTATGAAAAACATAAATTGTCAAGCAGGAGTGGACAAGAGGGAGTGAGAGTCTTACCTGAGCCTCCAGATCATTATCAGTGAACAGACTCAAGGGGTATTTGGGCCCCATCATCATGTCAACGTTGACCATGTGCTTGTCGTCAATGTAGAAGACGTCTTTGGAGGTAAATCGTGGGTCAAAGCGAGCCTTCCATTCTCCTGTTTAGGACAAATGGGTGATTACGGAGATAATATTAGAAAAAAAGCATTTAAGGACAGACAGACTGATAATGCCAGACAGGAAACAGAATTGTGAATTGAGTAGATAGATACTATGACAAACCTTTGAAATGGACAGCATTGATGAGCATGAGAAGCAGATTGGGTGGCAGACTGGTCAGGAAGTCGGTCACTTTTCCATTAGTGGCCCTCTCTACCCACTCGTTGACCTCAGCCAGCCCTTCCAAGGTCACTGGCTCTGAGTCATATACATCCTGAGACTGATGAATAAACTCTGGTTTGGGCTCAAACCCTGAAACAGACATCAAAATACTATTTCAGACAAAATCATAATGTTATCATGAAGTCATATAGTCAGTAACACATTAGTACTTTCTTACTTATATCTGGCCATTTAGAGTATTGTTTCATTCAATGTCACTTGTTTGAACTTCTGTACACTCAATCATAATATGTCTATTGTCATTATCTTCCTTCCATTTCCAGGTCAGTTTCCTTTATGTTCCATCAACTTCCTAACCCTCTTACTCAAGTAAGCAGTGAAGTGTTGGGGTCAATTCCATTTCAGCTCCCTTTCCTCCAGTCAAATGACCAAATCGCCCTCTAGTGGCCTCATGGGTGGAATGTTATTAATATTTTTCATATTTTTCATAATTACCTAAACATGATTTTAAATGTTGAAAATCCGGTGTTTCTATGTCAAATGATTTTGTTATATTTCAGTCTTCTGTGGTGTATATAAAGTATAATATAGGGATGCAAACTCAAAATGAACTACATTTCAACTCTATATCTGACATGGTACAGGTGTCTTCTTTTTTTTAAGCCCATGAATATGTGTGTGAGGTGTATACTTTTGTTTCAAAGTAGATTTGTTTAAGACTACCAAGAAACACTGTGTGACCCTGATTTAGCCCACTGCAGTAAAAGGTTAACAAAATTAACAAAATTCCAATTCCAAAGGTTCCTCTATGAAAAGCATTGAAGAGAATTGGAATTTCTGTGTACTTACTGAACTAACTGGAATTGAAATGGAATTGACCCCAACCCTGAAGCAGTGAGCACTGACCTGGTTGCAGGTAGAGGCGTGTGGCCACTTGCAGGTCGCTCTTGCGGAGGCGTTCCAGGAAGTTGTGTAGAGACATGTGGTAGCAGGGCATAGTGTCACCATGGAGATGGTGCATCAGCAGCTCCTCTGTCTCATTCATGGCTCCTGAGATACATACATAGACATGATGATGATGATGCAACATGCTGCAGCTTATGATAGTGTTATTGATTATTGGACTGCAATGTTGAGTGAGCTAGCACACAAGCATTTAGCTGTAAATTGTATTCCTGCTGTAAACTGTACACTTGACGCATACAATTTGATTTGAGCTCTCAACATTTACAACAAACAATTCAATGAGGTCATGTTGAGTCTAAACGTGTCCTATGGTCTAAGGTAGTGCACTATATAGGGAATAGGGTGCCATTTGGGACATAGCCTAAGAGGTTGTGATGCTGGTACTGTAAACCATGCCAAGTACAGTTGATACTGAAATAGCATAGATACCTACATTCCTAAAACGTTTTAATCACTCCTAAAAAAACAGCAAAAACAGAACAGGTCCTACCCAGAGCCAGCTGGGAGAGTGCCAGTGATATACTGAGGGGGGATATAATGACATTGGGCTGCTCAGGTCCTGTCTTCATCTGGCCCAACAGCTTCATGCCCAGTCTCTGGATGGCGCCAGCTAAGGCCTGCCTGGATTTTGGCCTGCGGGCCTGGGCCCTACAACCCCCATCCTGCTGCTGATTATCCTCCTCAGACGAGCCCCCGCCCGGGGAACTGGTCGTCACGAGGGGAGGAGGGGTGGTTGTATATGAGGTGGGACTTGTGTTTTGAAGCTCCTGTGTCCTGGGGGCAGAAGTCCCTGATTCCTGGAAGAGTGGATTGTGTTGGGTTAAGACAATGTAGAGTAAAAATGCATGTGGAGGGAATGAGAGCTGTGTATTCTGCTTTGGCAACAGACCTCTTTAGGGTGGCTGGGCATCAATGGGATGAGGGGGACCAGAGGGATTGGAGCATCATTTGACACCTCTCCATTCTGCTTGAAGGGGAAAACAGTGATATGAGAATGTTGCACATCATTCAGGAAAAGTAGTCACGATTGATGTTGATGATTAATTTCAGTGCTTTACAGTTAGTCCTTGTCTGCAGACACAGAACAACAGGAGTGATAGTAGACGAAGGTCCATGTCCATGAACAGCCAGCCTGAAACAACAGAGGGTAACAAGCTATTACCCAATGAGGCTGGCCCACTCAATTCCTGTCAATGGAATGAATCACAGTTGAAGGACGACAGCAAACTGACATTTGGGCTAGATAATCCAGTCTTTCGCAATGACAAACACAAAACAGTTCTATCAACTTCTTTAGCATGGTACAGCAGTGTTCTCATAAAATAGAGAACATTACAAAACAGACTAATCCCTTGAAGAAAACATGTATTTACTGAGGTATATCATACAAAACATTCTCACCTGTATATATATATATTTTTTTAATTTCATTTGTGACGCACATTTAGAAGTTTATAATCCTGTCTCTCCCTCTAGTCTCCCTCACTGTATGGCACCTATATTCTTAATTTAAAGAGAACACCTGAAAGATGGTGACCAGGTACAAACAGTTTTGTGCTCTCTTGCTCTGGTAAATCTGGTTAGTTGAGACCACCAGCAGGCTATACTATCCGTATCTACATAATGGCAAGCCTTGTCACAAGTACACATTGAGAGGAATTACTTTAATATTTTATGACCAGGTACATTAACCACTTGCTATTTCTTCATAACAGACCTAAAACAGGAAAACAACATTTAAAAAACGGTTTGCAATTGAATGGAAGATTAGGTGACATTTGGTTTAAATGAACACACATAATCAAGGGGCAACCTCAAGTGTTATACTATTACTATAATTATAAGTATACTATATTTTACTATTATAGGCCTACTACTATTACACTGAGGCAAAGGTTTAGCTGAAACCTTACACTTTCATTTATACAAGTCATAAGTCAGTTACATCATAAGCCATATTATAAATTCCCAAATGTTCGATCTTACCTTGACAAAATTAAGATGGGAGACCTGCTATCCTGTCTAAATAAAGAGAGAGACACACACACTGAATGTGCAATGGCAGAATTCTCCTTTGCAAAAGACTGGCAGTTGCTCAGCAGGCTGTTAAATTTCAACTTTCATTGATCTGTGCTTCATATATGTCACTACTTGTTTGTAAATGTAAATATTGAGACCGATTCAGGGGTCAAACAGTGAGCCTGACAGAACCTGACACTTTATTGTGAATCAAAGTGTACTGGCAAATCTGCAGTGTGAAACACCAGGACTTGGTGTGAAGCAACACGTCATAGTTTAATTACATTAGTGAGTTGTATCAGTGTTTGTGTGGGACAATAATTAAAAGCAGATCACAAAAAGTAATGTGGGTGGAATCGCTGATTCCCAATTTCCCAGAAGCTCTTAGTAAGAGCTGTACAAGAAGTAGCCATCTGGGTATGAAGCAACTCCAAACCTGACAAAATTGACATTAGACTGGTTGGATGGGTAGAAACTGAATGCGGCTACACTGCATAACAGACTAATCTTTTTACCACTCAACATAAACAGTAGGTGGTATCTATCAGATCCCATGACTGCAGCTGAGCTGACAGGCATTTTTCTACAAACATCAAGAGGGGACTTTGTCCAATAAGAACTTTAAATGTTGTTCTCTCTGATTCGCTTGCAACATAGAGGAGAATAAGAGATACAAACATTTCTGATTCATGTAAAAACCTGAAACAAGCATATTGTGTAGGTAATATTTTATTAAACCTATTAAATAAAATGATCACTTTATTTGTGTACTTCTCTCTTCAAAATGGAAATCAGTTGGACAATTTCTGATTATCAAGGTGTTACTTGATTCCTTTTGAAAACAAAGTAAATTTTTTATTATTAGACAATACAAAAGTCACAGGAAACAAAAGGAGACATGGGAACATGGTGACCCTTGTGGCCTGTTTAACAACTGAATGAGCCAAGGTTGACGTTTCTCTCCAAAAAAAGACTATAGGATTGTGTTGAGGTCATGGATGGTAATGCACATCATAAAAGTGCAGAAGAGCACAGACACCCTTGTGAGCAGAGTAGACTGTCTTGAAGATTGACTAAGAACAGGAGTGAAAACGTTGGCAACAGGTGTTATGGTAGAAGAGATAAGCATCCCATTCAGGATAACAAGGTACATACAAAATTGGGGCAGGTAAAAAATTCCTCCCCTTAAGTACTTAAAATACATAACCAGGAGTTACTTTAAATCCCAAATTCAAATGTATATATATTTTTTAATAAATTATGGATTTTTCTTGCCATTCTTTTTCTTACACTGCCAATTTGTGATTACATAGAAGGCATACTTATTACAATACAAAAGTCAATTGGGTCTTGGCTTTGACGCTTTGTTCCTATGCTAACTAGTCAATGTTATGGACAAACTAGAGTCCAAACACATTGCTTGCTTAATGTCTGAGTGGGTTTCATCATGATACATTACATAAAATCAACCTTTCTTTAGTTAGGCCTACAACACATGAACTGATTATTTGTATCAATATTTTTATCTTTCGGCAACCATGGTTTAGGGTTATTCAAAAGAAATGTTAACAACTTTAATATTGAACCATTAAATCATTGTAAAATAATCATCTTAAAATGTGATCATTGAGAATAGCTTGAAAATGGCGCTCCTTATTGTGCAGTAGGATTTGACCACGTGACCTTGGCACACAGAAGTAACAGGTTGAAGAATCACATCATGACTCTGCCATCCCTCGCATTAAGAAGATGCACTAACACTGTCAAATGAAATGGTCTTGTGTAGGTTTATTTTTTATCATTTAGAAACAATGTAAGGTGAAAAAGCATTACTTCTTTAGAAAGAGATGGAAAACAGACTTTTAAAAATGTTTATTTGTTATTATTATTTTGTTATCTACGAATACTGCATAGTTATTCCGTGCACCTGATGCATGGTGTGATCTAATGTTAGGAAGATAATGATGATAGGTGTGTGAAATGTGAATCACAGTCTTTTTTTGTGTTGGTTGGTAGGTATGCATCTATTTGGAAAGTGCCAACACTACATCAGAGCCATGTCAGGCTCCACCTTCCTGAGCAGTTCCTTTTTAAAATAATATTGACCTAGTCAAGGATAAGAATCTTCTTCATTATATAAGATCTATAGATAAATGCTAATAGTCATAATCAAGTGTTTTGTTGCCCTGTAAGGTAGATCTATCCTCGACTGAGTGATATAACAACACTTCATCTTTATTTTGGTCGTTGACTACAGCAGAGCAGACGGGCAAAGTCCTCTCAGTTTGAGGCTCATATAACTACTGTCTTAGTGCTCCCCTCTCTCTCTCCGTTGTAAAAGGACGTTTTGAGGACCTCACCACTTGCCTCTTCAGCGGGTCTAGCCTCCATCCCACGAGGGGAGGAGCTGAGAGAGGCTCAGGATACAGGCAACACACTTTAGGAATAGGACACCTTCAGCAAAAGTCAACAGCAGAGTCTATATCTAGCTGAGCCAGTGCGTTATACATTAGCCCCTAAGCTAGCAGCCTGATGGCCCCGTTCTCTGAACCCAACAGCAGGAGCCTCTTGGTGGGCAGCACAGCCAGGCTGGTGAGGGTCCCACTGAAGTTCTCCGAACTGAGTTTGGTGCTGCTGGCCGGGCTGGCAGAGATGTTCATCATGGAGTACACCCCTATCTTGTTGGCCACGGTGCCCGCCACGATCTCTGCAGGTCGAAGGCATGGACCGGGTCGGAGGGACACTTCTATTGGTGGAGGGGCTTGTGCTCCAGGTCCTTCCACACGGTCAGAGTGTGGTCAGTGGACGAACTGATGACCAGGTTTCCCTCAGCAGCCTGCAAAACACACAGGAGACCACAGTCAGAGAGCACAGTCACAGGGCATCATATGTGTGTACACTCACAAACACCCACACCAACCCACGCTCACACCCACACCACCCACCCACGCTCACCCTGACATAACTGGATTAAAAAGAGCACTTGTATATTCTTTGCCAGGACATTACTATCATCAGTGGCGCACCTCAAATATGGGAGTACTGACAGAGTAATCCATAAATGTTAAAGCAATAAGGAGTCTAGGTAATTTCTGGATGGACCAGTGAGACTCAGTGTAGCCTTTATAATGAGTAACTCCTGTACATATTTACCTGAACTTGAGCCTCTAAAGCCAGAGACACAATCCTTGACCCCACCAATCAGGGTTAAATCAAGTTTGCTCAGCTCTAGTGCTTTGTTGACTGCTTCTGAACAAACCCTCTGGGTACAACTGTCACTTGACACACGTTAACATTTCACCACCACCACCACCACCACCATGTAACAGCAGAATAAAACAGTTAGCTGCAACTCTGCCTCTTGTTTATATCAGCTGAGTGACTGCTGAACATTTCAGAGCCCTACATACTCCTCTGAGAGGAACATGTGAAGGACTGACTGGCCAGAGATAGTGGCTACGTCTGAAATGGCATCCTATTCCCTGTATAGTGCACTACTTTTGACCAGGGCCCAAAGGGAGAGAATAGAGTACCATTTGGGACGCAGACAGCATGTGTAGCAGCAGAAACATGTTGATTGGAAAAGGCCCATTACGTAACCAAGTCCTGTGGGCCAAATAACTGACTGTGTGAGAGTGGGAGCAGTCAGTTCTATGAGACAAAGTTCACTTTATATCCCTCAATATCGTTTGTTTGTGGCGCTGGTAAAATCCAATAGCTAACCACAGTAAAGAATAATCACGATCCAACGGGAACATGAAACTATTAATTTGAAACCACTGCTCTAGCAATAGTCACTGTGAAATTACCAATAAACACACACACACCTACCCAACCCCCACACACACCTTCATCTGCAGGATGTCTCCCTCGTGAGCGGGCCAGCCTCTCAGCACCAGGCCTGTGCGTGCGTCTAGCAGCACGATGAAGCCAGAGGAGAAGCCTGCAGCCACGGTGCACCCCCCAGGGCTCACGGCCAGGTAGCGGATCAGGCCGGCACTCACGTTGTTGTACGCCAGCCGGAACTCATGCTGCCTGGGGGGGGGGGACAGGGTGAGCCATAGACAATATACAGTTGAAGTCGGAAGTTTACATACACCTTAGCCAAATACATTTAAACTCAGTTTCTCACAATTCCTGACATTTAATCCTAGTATAAATTCCCTGTCTTAGGTCAGTTAGGATCAACACTTTATTTTAAGAATGTGAAATGTCAGAATAATAGTAGAGAGAATTATGTATTTCAGCTTTTATTTCTTTCATCACATTCCCAGTGTGTCAGAAGTTTACATACACTCAATTAGTATTTGGTAGCATTGCCTTTAAATTGTTTAACTTGGGTCAACCGTTTCAGGTAGCCTTCCACAAGCTTCCCACAATAAGTTGGGTGAATTTTGGCCCATTCCTCCTGACAGAGCTGGTGTAACTGAGTCAGGTTTGTAGGCCTCCTTGCTCACACATGCTTTTTCAGTTCTGCCCACACATTTTCTATACGATTGAGGTCAGGGCTTTGTGATGGCCACTCCAATACCTTGACTTTGTTGTCCTGAAGCCATTTTGACACAACTTGTGTGTCACGGAATCTGCCGAGGCTGCTCCTCCTCCTTGTTCGGGCAGGCTTCGGCGTTCGTCGTCCCCGGAGTACTAGCTGCCACCGTTGAATGTTTCGATGTTCGTTTGGTTTGGTCTGTCTGTTACACCTGTGTCCGTTTGGTCTTGATTATGTGCCTTATAAGTTTCCTGTGGTTTCCTGTTCGTTAGTTGTGTGTTATTTTAGTTCCTGTCTGTTGGTGGTATCCTGTGCAGTACTCTGGCATTGTTATTATTACGCACTGTGTTGCGTTGTCGTTTTGCCTCCTCGTTAGAGGCACTTTATTTTGTACTGGTTGTGCATCTAGTAAAGTCCTGTTCGACTTAGCTTATGCATCCTGCGTCTGACTCCTCTCCACGCACCCACACCAACACTGACAGAATAACACACCATCATGGAGTCAGCAGGAGCAACGGCGGCACCCAAGTCCCTCGAGGAAAGGATCAGCAATCAAGACACCATGATCCAGCAACTTGGGGTCGCCATG